GCAAACTGATATGGTAAGCCGGTATCGACCACCGGTATCGCTTCCTATGTAGAGATTAGAGGAAGGAGGAAGCTGGGAGAACGAGGTATTGCTAAAGAAAAAAAGCCGCATGCAAAACGAATATAGTGTTTGTTCAACATAAAGCCTGAAAATGGGTCGGTGAAGCATATTCGTCCAAGACCGTACTATCCTGATGGATGACCTACATGGGATGTAAGCACAAAGTACAAGGCCCTGAATATGACATTAGGGGCTTAGACGCACTGGTAAAGTCCCTTATCCCGATCAATGTATTCATTTGTGGAAATTTTTGTTGCGTTTGCGCATGTGGCACCCGGCATGACTTGCGCCGTCTACCTCCCCTCACTATGAGCTCTTACGTCCGCGATCCCAAACTCTGGACATCTCGCAAACCGCCTTCAGCTGAACCTCTTGAAACGACGGATGACGAGGATCCCGGATCTTCCTTCACGACCACTTCCCAACTCGTACTGGGCGACCCCGACCCTCCTTGCAAGCGAACGTCCGGGGGATTCAAGAGAAAATGTAGCCGTACCAAGATTGAACGCCCTTCTCGAGGAATGGGAATCACTCCCCTACTTCCCTATTCTAGAACGGCTAGTCTCTGAAAAGGGAGGTCAGGTTACAAAACTGGACCCGGCGGTAACGGGAAACTAAACAAATTTCTTCCAGAGTACCATCTCAAATGGAGAAGGTCTCCTGGTTCGATATGCACGATTTCCGATCCGAGACGGGTCTGTTCCGTCCCCGGAGGTTTTGCAATCTATCATGGACGCTTTGAACACCGTTCAGCAGCAGCATGATAGGAGAGCTGTATTCCATTGTTGGGGAGGGATAGGGAGGACTGGGACAATTGTCGGATGCTCGCTGGTGTACTCCGGAGCAGTGAGTGACGAGGAGGCCCTGGTCACAGGCCGCCAGGCGGGCGTTCCAAGCGCAGCCCCAAATAAGGCACACGCCGAAGGATATATAGAACCTTCACATGCAAATGCCGCAGCGAGAATCAGGTCTGCAGGAGAGGTGGCGTTGGCAGTTTTAGAAAAGAAATGGAAAGAAGTGGATAAGAGCTGGAAGGCTCTGCGAACGCCGGAGAACGCCTTGCAAGAGGATATGGTCCGATCGTTCAAGTCAAAGAAAATGATTCCATCTCTCCAGTAGAACGCCCAGACAATCAGTCGTTTGTACAAACCTATTCGAGGTCCTGCGTGGTCTGGAACGAACTCTACACCGATAAATAGCGCTATAGATTATCTCTTAACCGTACATGACACGCACAAATATGAAACATTACTAGAGAACGGGCTTACCATTTTCCGGAAAGACGGAATTTCAATTTCAAAACAAAGAACTCGAGAAATATTACGAGAACCACGGCTTGCCTCAAGCTCAGGAGAGGGAAAGAGCGACAAGAGACAATTGTTTCGATCTGCCTCACACCGGGGTCGAACCCGCAATCGGATCCCCCTTCCCTCGGGAGCTTGCGGAGGGCGGGGACGGACCCGAAGCCATCGGGGTATGGGAGTGTTACGGACAAAGCAAGTGGGCGGGAATACACGGCACGGACGGGGCGACGGGGATACACGGATGAGGCGACGGGGCACGCTACCAAAGAGGAAATTGCGCGGTTCCATACTAAACAGAGGGCACTTTGTCATTTATGTCCGTGATTGGCCAGTCCTACCAAGTACCACGTCCTTCTTCGGGTTCGTGCTTGATTGGAGGTCACAATAAACTGCACACCATTCTGTCTCTACATTTATGCTTGGATCCCGATGTAAAATATACGTCTCTCTAGTGCGGCGTGTCAGTCGCATGCGAACAATAAGCTCGACAGTGGACCAATTTGACCAATATCCTCCGTAGGTCCAACCGTCCCTTCTCACTATCCGCGTGACTCTACAAATCAGTAAGTAAAGCTGCTAAAAGCTATTCAAGTGTGGCTTCGTCCCGTTTTGCATCCTACGTGGTGCGGGGAGGCGGCTGGGCCAGGCGGTTCCTCTTTTTCTGGCCGCCTCGACTCCGAATTCTTGGTATCACTCAGAGAATTTTGCCGATCAGCCCCGTGCTTAGTATCACGTAGACTTTCCTTTTTCAGTGACAAGCTGGAACTATTTGAGCTGACCCACGGTCCTTCCCGTAAACGCCGCCGGCTATCTCCGAAAGCACCTCCAGACCACGAGCTTCAATTCGCCTATTCCGTCCAAGTTGCATCTATGCCAACCAGTATGGTGAGCATACAATCTGTGCTCGTTGGGATCCATAATTAAGATCAACGTGTAG